TGGAAACAACAGGAGGTGACAAACCTGATGGATGTTGTCACCTTCCCAACAAGACATATCACAGTAGATAACTGACACTGATCAGGTATGTGACATAATCATGATCCACGTTCATCTTCTTAACAAGGTCAAGTTTACTAGCAGAATAAATTTTCAGCCTGGCCCACTGTAGTCAGTGATAGCCAGCTTTTGACTCTTCACACCCAAATTAAATTTTTGGGAAGAAATATAGTGCATGACTTTAAACCACCATTGAGAAAACTCAAAACACTTAACTTAATCCAACAAACAGTGAGGATTTTTCTAAATAAATAACCATTAATGGTTATATATTTTCTTCCATGTTCTACATACTGTAAATAGAGGTTGTATTATCATGCTAACATTGATGCAGGGAGTATGTGACCCACTATGTGACCCAATGTACACCTTGCTGCAAAACTCTCTGCCAAGGCCTCAACTGTGCACAAATGTTTGATCTTGCTACATGTACCTCAATGTTTGTTTACTTCTGGAAGTTGTATAAGATCTCATAATAATTAATACATCTGGTATATTGTTTATGCTGTGAAATTCTAATCAAATTTCATTTCATGTTTAGAATTTTTTTAATGTTATATATGCCAGAGAAACATCCTTTTTTATGTTATATATAATCTTCCAGTTTTTCGGGAACTTTTGTTATTCATCCATTATTACAATTGTACCTGCATATCTATAATAAGCAGTTTAACAATATTCCCCTTGCCCCTGTGTCATAAAAATATTGTGGGTCCTGTGCTTTAAAATAAAGAATTACTGTAGATTCTTATAAATCTAATACATTGATGCAACACCAGAGTTTGTTTCAATGAGTGTTTGAACAAATCAAATCAAGTACAAGCTATATATTTGTTCATTATCTCTCCTTATATACCCTGTCTGACACCTAACGTCATTAGGGCACCTGTTAGGGCATTAGGCTCCATGGTTAGGGCACCTGTTAGGGCATTAGGCTCCATGGTTAGGGCACCTGTTAGGGCATTAGGCTCCATGTTTAGGGCACTTGTTAGGGCATTTAGAGCTGCTGCACCATTGATCATTAGGTGTCAAGACACCTAATACATTTAGTGCCATAATTAGGGTGATAATTAGGCTGTAAGATTAGGGCACTAATCAGCCTTCATGGTTAGGGCCTTTCATATTAAAAAAAATTCTATTCAATGACATCTTTTATTTATAACAATAAAATATTTACATGTTAAAACAAAAACTTTACACAATGTATGTTTCATGTAAAACAGCTAGTTTGTTCACTGTAAATGAGCTGCTGTCTGTACTTCTGAGTACTTTGATTTGTAAAGAGTTGTAAATGACCTCAGGGTGTATCATAAATACTGTATCAATTTTGTACAAGAATTAACTTCTGATACTGTAATGCACAATGAGTATCATAGTGAGCTATTTTACTCAAATGCATGTAATTTTCTCATTTTTCTGTTTTGTTCAAGTAGATGCTGTAGCATATGTTTTCTCTTTTTTTAAGTGTGAAGATTTGGAGAGCATACTTAATAGGGAATTATTAAGCAGATTTCCTGTGGATTTGCTTGACATTAATTATCAAGGACTGGGACCCTTAAGGTATGGCAAAGTGACCTTGATTTATTATTTTGTACCTTTCTTTAACTTTTTTATTCAAACCTGAGGATAACTTATTGCCTCTTACATTTACAGTAAATAAGAGTGAAGAAATTCTAGAGGGAACAGAACACTTGTGCAGATATCCAAATCTTCAAAACATTGAAATAAACACATTGTAGTAACAATGTTAATTTTTTCTGTGTTTTTAAAATCAAAAAACATTTTAAAAACATTTTTGTAACGGGTGTCCGAATAATGAGAGGGTATGGGGTCGCCCAATTCGGACACGTGGGTTCTCTCCGGGTACTCCGGCTTCCTCCCACACTGACCCCACTTTTCTCTTTTTTTCTATGCTAATGAGATAATCACAAGCTATTGAAATTGTTTAGATGAAGTTAAATATGTTGCAGATGTAATGATTGTTAAATATTAAATTATTCCTGGAATGTACAAATTCTGTCAGCTATTTTACCAGCAATATAAATTTGTATAGTTGATTCTGATTATTAGCTTATTGTGTAATATTGAATGCATTAGATATTGGTGTGCCAAACATGCATTGAAAGAAATTGATAAATTTTGATGTAAAATTGTGATATTGAGTTGAAAATGTAAAAATTGTGATTTTAATAATGTTACATTGTGATTTGTAAATAATGCTGCAATTGTTATATGTTAAAATGTGATTTGTTAATGTGAAATGTTGATTTGTGTATGTTAATTCGTCTGATCTCATTGGCAAGTTTTGTGCAAAGAAAAAAAAATCAAAATGAAAAAAAAAAATTAAAAAACAACAACAACAACAAAAAAAACAACAACAACAAAAAACAACAAAACAACAACAACAACAAAAAAAAAATAGATGAGAAAAAAAAAGAAAAAAAAAAAAAAAACAAAAAACAAAAAAAACAAACAAACAAACAAACAAACAAAAAAAACAAAACAAAACAAAACAAAAAACAAAAAAAAACAAAAAAAAAAAAAACAAAAAAAAAACAAAAAAAAAAAAAAACTGAAACAAGTAGCAGAAAAAAGCACAAAACTTTTAATGCTGCCTGCTTGAAATAACATATATGCATGTTATTTCAAGCAGAAGGTTCCAAGCCCTTAAAAGCAGAGGAGAAGTTTTGGTTTATATGTACTTGACATTACTAGATGTACTGAGTGTCAATTTAATGTAGACTCATTCATATCAGTTCATTTGATATGTACAATGCATCAATTCAAATCTGTTTAAATAATTACTGGAATGTTATCTTCAATTCTAAATTTTTTTAAGTGCAGAATTTTGCTGAAATGAGGTGCAAAATTTCCAAATGCAACTTTGTTGCTCTTTTCAAATGAATTATTGTCAACAGTTGAATGAATGCATGCAAAAATTAAATGAAAAACTTTATTCTCATAACTAAGTATAAAGATCAACAAACTTTAAACAAGAGGCCTATGGGCCACAATGCTCATCTTAGATACATTGATCCTGCTGTTGTTGAGAAAGAGATTTTTATGCCCACCATTAATGCAGCTGGGGCATATAGTGTTTGTAATGTCTGTCTTCTGTCCTTCCATCTCACTTTGAGATTAGCTCAGTTTCAAAGAAACTATTCAAGATATTTTTATCAAAGCTTATGGTCTTATATATTTTCATCGAACTAATGCAAATTGATGAGAGCTATTCAACTGTAACATAATTTTCTGACATTACCTTCCCTGTGATCTTGAACTCACTACTTCTAATGTTAAGCAAAGAAAAGGGTGCTACATTTTTTTTCCCTGTTGCATTATTAAGGAACCCTAGCCAAGGCATTCATGTCCTATGAACATATTTCCAGTTTAAGATTTTCCCATGACCAAACTAATACAGTTGAACTTAATTTGGTTCTTGAACACTGATATCATGAATACCATGAATATGTCAAAGTGATTTGGAAGTCCCAACCCCTTATTCTCTAAGTATTTTACCCTGGATATCTTGAATACACGTATATCTCGAAGTTTTTTCTTGGTCCCACTGAATTCGAGATAACAAGGTTTGACTCTATCTGTACCATAGAGATAATATCATTGATCATTGCTCTGCTGTTCTTGAGAACGCTAATTTTTATTCCAACTTTTATCCCTTATATGGCCCCATGCATGTATGATAAGGATACACACTACTGAGTTTGCTTTGGATGCTGGATCTGACCTACATTTTCCAGATAAGTGACCAAGTTAAATTTTTTGGAGCAGGTTCATTCTAAAGTATGTAGCGGTGTTTTGATAGAATCTAGGGATTCACACTTTTATATCACCTGTCGGTATCTGAAGATGCATAATTATTTTTATTGCATACTAACAGTAGAAATTTTAAATATCAGGGGTTTTGCATATATGCAAAACAGCTAACTTTACAGTTACTGTAGTGGAATCATGCAGTGCTGGATCTACAGGGTTGATATGGATAAATATGTCTTTGTACGAAAAAAAAAAAAAAATTGTATCTTCATTATTAGAGCATTTGCTCATCAAATGTGTGACAGAACTGCATTTCTGGCTTTTTGTGGCATATACTCAGTACAATAAATGTAAAGATTTTTTTTTTTTAATAGAAACAAGGATCGGGTAAAAAAAAAAAAGTAAATACACTGTATAAGGAAAAAATTGTTGTTTTTTTTTTAAATAGAAAAGGCTCAGGTAAAAATGAAAATATAAGGGAAAAAACTCTGGATTTTGGTTTTATGATGGTAATCAAACAGTTTATTTACGTGCTAATTAGCATAAATGTTGAAGGCATAAAATTATCATGTGAGCAACTGTTTGATCATATCATAAAATCAAAAATTTATACAGTTATTATTTAAAGCATACCCCTTGCCGATACCACCTTGGGAAAAAAAAATTGATATCATACCAATATTTTTATAAACGTACTCTCTGTAATAAATGATACTGTTATTGAAATCTTCAATTCAACATATCCATAATTTAAATAATGATCTCTTCAATTGAATTCTTGTTCTATCAAAAAGATTTATCTACACTGCTCTAAATTTTTGCAGGCAAAAATTCCATCGCATTGTCGATTTCTGCAATTCATTTGATGTGCACATCAATTGCATTGCTGAGAGCAATACTTGTCAATTCTATTGATTGTTTGCTTGATTGTTAACATGCATTTAAGATTTTTTCACTCCTTCTGAGATGCCACTACTTGCTGGTGGAGAGCTGCAAATTTAGACCTGTGCTCGGCACTTATGGCCTTTGAGCAGTGAGATCTGGCTGGAGTGACATGTCCCTCGGCGATAAACCAGAAAAAATCCAGTTCTTTCAATAGGCCCTTTTAAGTATCATTGAAGTAAGTCATATCTCCAAGTGTATTAAGATTTTAATAAAATAACACATACACAACATTATGATATTGGCTAAAACACATGTATATCAAACTGCAGATCTAATAAAATCACAACATGATTTACATAATTTCACACTTAAAAAATATCCAAAATGAAATAAATTTCACCTGCTTTACATTGAAATTGCATTACTCATTAAAGTTGTTTTTTTATGGACTTGAAAATAATCCTATACTGTAAATCCTTTCTGCATGGTTTTATACCCCTAATCCATCCCAGGATGAAATTAGGATGTTCAACAACTGGAAAGTTAACTGCATGTGACTTGTTATAAGAAAGGGGGGGGGGGGGGTCAAGATGATCATATCACACTGTTTGTAGCTTGTGATGTGTTCAGATGAAATGGACATGGTCCTTCAGTCCACTGAAAGAACAAAAGATGTACCATAAATAATTTAAAAAATATTGAAAAAAAACTTATTTTGGAAACATCAGATATTAGGAAAATGAAGTTGAAACTGTTGCAATTTGAACTAAATATAAAGCCTACAATTGAATGTCATTTTAAAAACGAACCTCTTTAATAGCAATTTTTTGCAATAAGAAACAAATACAAGTGTATGTTAAATGTTTAGTTTAAAACAGAAAAAAATTTAAAACATTGTTTTTGGTCAACCTAACATTCTATAAATCCATTTTTTCCATTTATAATCACTTTGCACCTATACAGCTAGAAAGCCTTGACACTTACGTGTATGAGTCCGTGTTCCGGAAGTTGGGAGGACTGTAGAAGATCTTTCAGCAAGGACTGAGTAAAAGTATTATGCATTCTGTATCCCTCTTGTTCATTAGCAGTGTCCCCACAAAGTCTGTACAGATCTAGATACAGAATCAAAGAGTTACAAATACCCAGTACATCAACAAAAAAATGTAGGCGTAAATAAAATACAAGAGGCCCAAGGGCCTTGAATCGCTGATAAATTGTACAAACTATCACTTCTATTTGAAGCCTCTTAGTATCAAATATTTTTAAATAAAGCCTTGAAATTCCAAAAGTAGATCAATGTGACCTACATTTTGGTTATTACACTTTAAGAACCCAAGATGCATCAACTGACAAAGTTTGATGATTTGAAGCCCATTATTATTGTAAATATTCAGATATAGCAGTTCCAAAAGTAGGTCACTATGACCTCCTTTTTGTTAAAATACTCCATTGACCCAAAATGCATCAACTGGCAAAGTTTGATGATTCTATGCCAATTAGTAACTGAATCATTTAAAGATGGCCATAAAATTCCTAAAGTAGGTCACTGTGACCTACTTTTTGGTTGAAATACTTTGAGGCCTTAGGATGCGTCAACTGACAAGGTTTGATGATCTTAGGCTTCAAAGTGTCCAAAATATACCTTTAAGGTATTCCATCCCTAATAGCTTCAGATTCAATGAATCTGAATACATAACAGATGTGTACGGGTGGAATACTCAGTATATTTAGACATAATTCCCATTTATTACTATTAGCATGTAAGAATGGAACGTGTCCTAATTTATGACCTTGACCTTTGTTGAAGAGTTATCTCCCTCTTTTTTTTTAAGTAATAAAAATCAATTTTAAAAAATCTATACGGTAAAAAAATTGTTCTCAATTGTCATTCTATTTCTAATGATTTAATGCATCTTTCCACCTCAGTACTAATTGATATTTTTATTATTTGAATTTTTAGTTTTAAAAAAACTGCTTGTCTCCATACACTTCAATGCAATTTCTGTTATTTAATTACTGCTTAGTTAATTCCATTTCTCTTGGTAAATCCCTTTCTACTGTAAAATGCTTTGAATTCATATAAGTGTATTATATACATGATGGATATTTAAGAATAGAGAATTAGGTCCTATTAGGGATGGAAAACCTTAAAACAATTTGAAAATGAATGCCTGCAAAATTCAAAAAGTTGGTTAATGTGACCTACTTTTTGATAAATGTGTTTCAAGACCCCAAAATGCATCATCTTACAAAGTTTGAAGATTCTAAACCTCTCAGTATCCGAAATAATGACCTTAAATGTTTTGAAAATGAGTAGCGATAAAATTCACAAAGTAGGTCAAGGTGACCTTCTTTTTGGTTGACACACTTCAAAGCTCCATATGCATAAATTGACAAGTTTTAATGATCGTAGGCTTCAAAATGTCCAAGATATACATCAAAATCAAATTGAAAACATGCAAAATTCAAAAGTAGGTCACCATGAACTACTTTTGAGTCAACATGATATGAGGTTCTCTGATGCATAAACCGACAAGATGTCATGATCCTAGTCCTTATAGTAAGCAAAATATCAAAGTTTTAACAAAACATAATTTTTGATCAACTTTGAAGTGATTTTGAGAACACACCCTTTGCCCCAGGGTGATGCCTTGAATAATTTTTAATCTACAACATATCCTCATACTTGTATATAAGTTTGGTGATAATCTCCCCAGTGGTTCTTGAGAAGAAGATGTTTTAGCAACCAGTACTTTTGTTTTTATTTTCCTAATTATCTCCCCTTGTTTAAGGGTCACATCCCTAGTTTTTGTATAAAAGAGAGCCCTTGTGCCAAGGATACTCTGTGACAAATTTGACAAAAATTGGTCAAGGGGTTCCTGAGATATGGCCCATATTCTAACAAGAGGCCCAGGGGCCACATCGCTCATCTGAGCACTGTGGCTAGGAAAAAAGCAAAAATCAGTTTAGTATTGAAAAGCTTAAATGCATAAATGGTCCCGACCCCCTAAAATGGAGGGGGTATGATTTGAAAAAAAAAAAGAAACTACACTAACTAAGGATGCCTACATATTTTTTTGACTGTGACTTTTTTTATACAAGTTTAAACTTTCATTGTGGCCCCACCCTACCCCCAGGGGGTCAAGATTTGAACAAACTTGAATCTACACTACCTGAGGATGTGACCAATCATGGCTTTGCTGTTCTTGAGAAGAAGATTTTTGAAGATTTTTCCTATATATTCCTATGTAAAACTTTGATCGTCCATTGTGGCCCCACCCTACCCCCGGGGGTCATGATTTGTACAAACTTGAATCTACACCACCTGAGGATGCTTCCAAATAAATATGACCAATCATAGCTTTGCTGTTCTTGAGAAGAAGATTTTTAAAGATTTTTCCTATGTACACCTATGTTAAACATTGATCGTCCATTTTGGCCCCACCCTACCCCCGGGGGTCATGGTTTGAACAAATTTGAATCTACACCACCTGAGGATGCTTCCATATAAATATGACCAATCATAACTTTGCTGTTCTTGAGAAGAAGATTTTTGAAGATTTTTCCTATATATTCCTATGTAAAACTTTGATCGTCCACTGTGGCCCCACCCTATCGTCAGGGGTCATGATTTGAACAAACCTGAATCTACACTACCTGACAATGATTCCACATGAGTTTCATCTTTCCTGGCTCATTGGTTCTTGAGAAGAAGATTTTTCAATGATGCCATTAATTTTTCGCTATTTTGTAATTATCTCCCCTTGGAGGAGGGCGTGGCCCTTCATTTGAACAAACTTGAAATCTTGAATCCCTTCACCCAAGGATACTCTGTGCCGAGTTTGGTAGAAATTGGCCCGGTAGTTCTGGAGAAGATGAAAATGTGAAAAGTTTACAATGACAATGCCAACGACAACAGACAACGGACAAATTTTGATCAGAAAAGCTCATGAGCTTTTGGCTCAGGTAAGGTAAAAAGTTTACGCACACAGCACAATGGCCATAGCATTAACTCTTTAAGCCTTTGGCTCAGAAGAGCTAAAAATATCCTGACACAATTTTGTTTTTAAAGAGAGAGATCTGAGCATATGTAGCTATCAAATGTATTTACATCACCAGATTTAAAAATTTATACAAAATAGAGTCGCTTCCTATTTATTAAAGCATTGGATAGGCACAGTTGAAAGTCCCTTCTGCAGTATATTTTAGGTAATATATTTACATTCATGATTCAATGAAGTTAGGCTCCATACTCTACAGATAAGAGGTCTCTCTACATTTATTTCAAAGTTTATGAAAAGGGGGGGGGGGGGGGTGTCATTGACGCCTATTTAACACATTTGAGTTTTTTTTTTTCTCTTGTTGCAAAGGCCCAAGAAGTTGCAATTGAACAAAATCCATGGCAAACTTTAGGTTGAAATCAAAATCTGATAAATGTACATGTATTTTAGTGTAGTCTACTTGTAAACAAAACTACATGCATATTGAATTTGGACGTAAAAGTATTGGAGTAGCATTCTGAAAGGGGAGGGCGGGGTTGATGCTTACAGATGAACAACCAAAAAGACGCTATACCATTGTATATACATTCCTGGACTCTGACCAGTAGGAAAAAAATCACAAGATGTCCTCTCTCTGTGAAGTATTTACAAAATGCCTGTATATCTGTATGCAAGTACATGTAATTTTATGTTCATCACTTTCTATTTAAAAAAGTGTTTGTCACTTTCCTAACTCTTGTCCTCCCTAGTATTTGTATGACTGTATTAACCTTAAGTCTCAACAATACTTGTGTGTGAGTGTATAAATCATAACTTTCCTCTGCAGTTGTTTACAATACCTTTGAGAAGTGAAGAGGCCCACAGCTGAACATGGACATCAGATATTTTTCCTGCTAATTGCATTGCAGGAGTGACCATATTTAATGCCTCCTGAAAAATCAAGTATTTGCACATAAGACTCTTCTTGGTAGATTTTACATCTCCCATACATGTATAAGCATAGATTCCTTATTTTAAGGACCCTCTCTACACTGCACACTAATTTCAGGTACTCTTGTGTAATTAGACTGATCCACCATTTGATAAAAATAGAATAAATTCATTAATTGCAATATGCACTGTACATGTATTAGATAATCTGTGATTAATTTCAACTATCCTAAACATCACAGTGTATATTGGACCAAGAGATAGTAATTGAAAACTTTATTCACATCTGAATAAGCAAACATGATTTTTTTAATCAGTTCTTCATTTTCTTTAAAGATTTATTCCTGGGTAAAAAAGGCAAGCACCCTATGTTAAAAATGAATTAGAAAATTTCAATATGTACTCCTTTACACTATATAATTTTCTCAAAGTTTAATAAAAAAAAACAACAACCCATTTTTCGTCAGTGTATAGAGGGTCAGTGTATAGAGGGTCAGTGTATAGAGGGTCGTTAAGTGAGAAGTAATTTTATTCTGCTTGATGCTTCTAGCAAAATTTTGTGTTAATAAACTCCTCACATATAATTGGAGAATGTAAGTATTCAGTAATTAATATATCAAAAGACGTCTTATACCGGTCAGACCTGTGCTTTATAATACCATGGAATATAAAATCAATCTTAGTAATAATTTTGTTGAAATTTTTTTTAATAAATGGCATTAATTCAGAAATAAATTTCAACCTGAATATTTGGCTAAAAAAAAATTGCAAATTGCAAGTACAGTAAAAACATGCTTATAGCAATCACACTTATAATGAATTGATGCTTACAGTGAAGTGATTTTCATGCCCCTCACCTCAAAATATATTGTAAACTTAACGAGTTTAGAGAAATAAGCTCATAACGAAGCAAATATGTCTGTACTTCTAAGTTTGTTTTATGCTTGTTTTATTGTATATTAAGTAAAAGTTTTTGAATTATTTTATTATGCCTATACTTTATGTTGATTAACCTACCAATCCTCTAAAAAAAATATACATACAGGTTTGTACAAAAATTCTTTCATAAAAGTTTTAAATATTGAACTCACAGCATTGTTTCCCAGGGATAAGAAAATGTGACCCAGAAGGACTAGAGAACATGAGGTGAGGCGATTCAGATCTTCGGAGTTTGCCATCTTTAGAGTTTCTCTTAGGTATCGTCTGAAAGAAACATAATGTACAGTATAAGAAAACTGAATACTAACATCCTAAATTTCCCAAAAGGCATACCTAAATGCACCATCATTAACAAGAAGCCCAAGGGCCTTGAATCGCTATTCCGATAAACTGTATAACCTATCACTTCCATTTGAAGCCTCTAAGTATCCTGTATATTTAGATAAACCCTTGAAATTCCAATTCACACTCTGAGAACCCAAGATGATTCTAAGCCTGTTAGTACCTGAGAGTTGGTCATGGTGACCTACTTATCACTTGTCATTCTCTGAGGACCAATCAACTAAGTTTGATGATTCTAAGCCAATTAATACCTAAAATATCTTTTAAAATTATAACCATAAAATTTTATAAGTAGGTCAAAGTGACCTACTTTTAAGTTGTTGTACTCCAAGGACCTAAGATACATCGACTGACAAAGTTTGATGATTCTAAGCCAATTAGTACCTGAAATATTTAAATAAAGCCATAAATTTTCAAAAGTAGGTCATGGTGACTTACTTTTCAGTTGTTGTACTTCGAGGACCCAAGATGCATCAACTGACAAAGTTTGATGATTCTAAGCCAATTAGTACCCGAAATATTTAATTAAAGCCATAAATTTTTTAAAGTAGGTCACAGTGACCTACTTTTCAGTCGACCTACTCCAAAGACCCAAGATGCATCAAGTAACAAAGTTTGATGATTTTAAGCCAATTAGTACCTGAAATATTTAATTATAGTTATATAAATTGAAAAGTAGGTCACATGTGACCTACTTTTCAGTTGACATTTTTTGAGGACCCAAGATGCATCAACTTACAAAGTTTTATGATCATATGCCTTAAAACGTCCAAATTATGCCTCTAAAACGCTTTGAAATTGAATGCCTGCAAAGTTCAAAAAGTAGGTCACTGTGACCTACTTTTTAATAAATATGTTTTAAGGCCCCAAGATGCATCATCTTAAAAGATTTAATGATACTAAACCTCTCGGTATTCGAATTAATGACCTTAATTGTTTTGAAAAAGATTAGCCATAAAATTCAAAAAGTAGGTCAAGGTGACCTACTTTTTAATTGACGTACTTTGAGGACCCAAGATACATCAACTGACAAAGTTTGATGATCATAGGCCTTAAATTGTTCAAAATATGCCTCTAAATCATTTTGAAAAAGAATGGCCACAAAATTTAAAAAGTAGGTCACCATGACCTACTTTTGAGTCAACATGATATGAGGTCCTTAGATGCATCAACTGACAAGATTTGATGATCCTAGTCCTTATAGTAAGCAAAATATCAACATTTTAAAAAATGTTATTTTTGGTCAAATTTGAAGTGACCTTGAGACCATGCCCTTTGACTCAGGGTAAATCCCCAGGCAAATTTTAATCTACAACATATCCTCATCCTTGTGAGTAAGTTTGGTGATAATCTACCCAGTGGTTCTTGAGAAGAAGATTTTTTAGCAACCAGTACTTTTGTTTTTATTTTCCTAATTATCTCCTCTTGTTTAAGGGTCACAACCCTAGTTTTAGTATAAAAGGGAACTCTTGGGCCAAGGATACTCTGTGACAAATTTGACAATAATTGGCCAAGGGGTTCTTGAGTTATGGCTCATATTCTAAAAAGTTTACACACACCGCACAAATGGCCATAGCATTAGCTCTTTAAGCCTTTGGCTCAGAAGAGCTAAAAATTGGGCCCAGTGAGGACATGTAGCTGTTAGGAATTTGATCTTTTCCTTGTTTTCTAAATACTTTATTCAGTAAACTCTAGTTACTTTATCACATCCACTCATTCAGTAAATAGAAAAAAAAAACTTTTCTCAGGGCTCTAATTGTCTACTAATTTAGTCATTTTGGCTCCTAAAATTTTTTATTGGTGCCTAAAACTGTAAGTCACAAAATTGGTGACCATTTTAAATTGACATGGCGTTCATCAAGCTCCAGAAATATAAACATTTTAAACTACTGTATGTTTTTTTTCTGAAGAGGCAAAAAAATTTAAAGAGGAGAGAATCATTTTTTAGCAATGGACTTTTCTTATGTTTACTTTTTATCTTGTTAGGGTTTTTTAACAGTCAGTGCATGTGCGAACAAAATTTCACGTAGCTACAGTGCACGTTAATCATGTAAACAATCCTCAATATGTTTATGGTTTTTTAAAAAGAAAATACAGTTTAACTTTGGTATCTCAAATACCATGGATATGTTGAAGTGACTTAGAAATTCCAGGTACTTATTCTTTAAGTATTTAACCCTGGATATCTAGAATCCACGGATATCTCAAATTTATTTCTTGGCCCCAATGAGTTCAAAATAACAAGGATTGACTGTATAATTAAATCCAAGTTTTTTAAAAAAAGAAATGATAGGTTTAAAACTTTTGAATATTAGAGTTTTACATGCATGTTTAAGTAAAACCTTTGGTATTTAACTGGCTTATATTTCATATAGATTTTTACTTTAAGAAAAATATGATTTTCTTGACTCTTGAGAATGCACTGATTGCATGTAGAAAGTACAAAATATTTGAAAAAAAACCCAAACAGTTCTTTTTACAATTCTACTTTGAACATTTCCTAGGTATTGTATCTCTTCCATTACTATTCCATGGGGGGAAGAGGCACAGAGATACTCTAAAAAGTGGAAGGGGCACTAGATGTCCCTCTCCTGTGACTATCCCCACATGAGTCCCTAAGAAAAACTTGCCTGGCGACTAAAATTTCTGCAATGGCGACTATTTTTTTTTGTTGATTAGGAGCCAGCTGGCACCTAAATTTTAGAGGTCACTTAGAGGCCTGCCTAGCATTACTTGTAGAATGCATCCCTTGATGCATAATTCACTTGATCTAAGTATGGCTTTTAAGAATTTCAGAAGGGACCTGGCCTATTTCAAAGACTTAATTTTAGTCACTCATCCAAAAATATGTCAGATGCAGTGTTTGAAACACAACTACACGTAATCGAAATCATCCTTCAACACATCAAAGTAGATTGCTCAAGGTAAGACTTAAGTGACTTCAAGTCATCTCATCCCAAAACTTGAATTTATATCTAGCTATTCATCCAGAAAATGTATCAGATGCAACAGTCAAAGAAAGATTAGTAGTTAGAATTCACAGATATATCATCAATGCAAATTTGTTCCAGCTAAGGCTTGCACAGTCAATACAGATAGAGACTTAAATATAAATAAATTGAATTTGATTTGTCAAGAAACATTAATAGAAAACTTACTGTTAATTTATGAATAATAAAACCACATCCTCCAACATGACAGAACAAAGCAACACTCAACATTGTTATATTCCAAAATATATTTACTGCACAGAGTTTATTGCAAACGTTTAAATTTTGATCCCAATAAAACCAGTGTAAATCCAGGCACAGCTGAATGTTTTATACAAATAACAGTAAACTGTGTGTGCATATATTCTGTGCAGTCAATATTTTTTTAGCATTACCTGTCGTCAACTAATAACTGTCAACTAACTCGTTGTTCTTAGAAAATGGAACCAGTCCGGAAAATTTAATACAGGACTTTGACAACTGTAGAACAGCATATTAAAACCCATTATTTTGAGAGGTGAACTTAACAAAAAGGTCGGCAAATAAATATTAAAATATTGGAAAATTGCTTACTTGGCTTCATTGTAGCGAGCCTGGAAAAATGTCTGCAATCCTCGGACATAGAATGCAGATGCTTGTAAACTGTGAGGACTACAAATAAACATTTACACTTGTAAGGATCCAAATAAAATATAGAATTCAACAATACCATTTTAAATTACCACATAGAACATTCAGTATGTTTGCGTAAACAACAAAACTTGACTTTCTTTGATTTATAAAATTATTATATAAATTATATAAATGTTCAAAGCTTATCTTATTCAGTTCCTTCTCCAAACTTGTGAAGCTACTGAATTTACTCCAAATTTGTGTTTCTTCTTACCATGAATGGCATTTTTCTGGATCCACTTTTTCCATTATGGACATAAATTCTGGCAAGCGATTTGTTCGAAGGTAGACAATGGCCAAATTCAAATTTACAAACATCTCCAGTTCTGTCCCCTGTGAAAGCTATACAAAGTACAAAATTTAATTTTCCCATTAACCAAAGGCAGCGTATCTTCAATTATATTCCTTTTATCAAAGGCAGGCAACCTTCAACCTTTGTCTTCTAAATTTCCTCATTAAAATCAAAAACAAGAAATCTCCCTACTTTAATACATCATCTTGGAACAAATACATGTATATAAAAAAACAATTCAAATACTGATACTTTTAGAACTTGCTCTCATACACATAGAAAGAGTACAGTTTACAGTACGATATCAACTCTTACCTTAATTGCTGTTAGGAACTGTAATTCTGCAGCATCCATACAGTTCATAGACATTGCATAAAGCCCCTGTCATGGAAATAATTACAAACGGTTAAGAAAATAAATTCCACAAAAATTATACAAATAGAAACAGGAAATGTGTGGGAAACATTTATGGCCCCATGTGGCAATATTGAAAAGGCCACTAGAATAAAACATGCTTATAGTGAATTGCCAAGGGGTGCAATTTCAATCATTATAAACATAATTCCCAATATCTATTAAGCAATACGTTTTATAACCAGGGGGGATTGAAAAATCACTTCACTGTAGGTGTGAATTCAACCGGGTCACTTATCCATAAGACTACATCAAACCCAGCAACCAAATTAAGTCTGGTAGCTTGCATCCCTAGAAGTATCATTAATGCAAGTTTTATCTTTCTAATGAAAGGCTTAAAATTAAACTAGTATGAACCTGCTCTCAAACTTTATACTTGGTCACTCAGGGCTTGACATTAACTTTTTTTCCTACTTGTCCATTCGGACAAGGACCAAGACATTTACTTGTCCGAACTTCAACTTCACTTGTCCGAAAAATTTTCAATAAAGATCTAATACTGTCAACTTGAAAACTAAAATGAATTCCATTACATGTGCTTGATTGATTCATGATGTTATTGATAAATACAACAAACACATAACACAAAATTTTACCTAGGCTTTCTGTCCTAACAACAACATAAGTAGACTGTCAACATCAAACAGAATCCAAACTTCATAAATTCCATGCCTTTGCAGTAGTATGCAACTAGTAAACTTCGATCCCGATCGAGTGTGAACTCAACTACATAGCGATCCATATTGGGATTGAAGTTCGGTATTAGGTACACACTGCTTCCATCTTTGAACTACAGTACTGGTAAATGTTCGACAGTCGTTCTTTTTTATTATTTTGAGACTTCTTTAGATTTAAATGCACTTGTCCAGTCGGACAAGCGCCCAGCAATATTCACTTGTCCATAATTTTTTTTCAATGGTACCAGACAAGCGGACAAGCGTTAATGTCGAGCCCTGTCACTCATTCAGAAAAAGGTCAGATTCAGCATCTGAAGCAAGTCTGATAGTGTGCATCAATAGATGCATCATTCTTCAAAGCTTGGTCCAGGTAGTTTTTGAATTTACACTGGGGTGTACCTGTTCCAAAAATTTTAACCTGGTCACTCATCTGGAAAATGTACATGTAGGTCAAGTCCAGCACCTGAAGTAAGTGTGGATTATTCATTACTTGATGCATCATCCATGCAAGTTTGGTCTTGATAGGGCTTGAAGTTAAACTGGAATGAAGGTGATCCAAAAACTTAAACCTGGTTCCTCATTCAGAAAATGTAGGTCAAATCCAGCATCTGAAGGAAGTCTGATAGTGTACATCTCTAGATGCAAAAACTATGCAAGGTTGGTTCAGAACTCCAGGTACGGCTTGAAGTTACACTGAAATGAAGGTGCTCAAAAAAAAAATAATTAACCTTATCACTCAACTGGAAAATGAAGGTCAGATCCAGCATCCAAAGCAAGACATGTAGTGTGCATCTTAGATGGAACATCCATGTAAGTTTGGTCAATGTAGGGCTTATAATTACTTGGATTATGGGGATTTGATTTTGTGGATAACGAAATGCTATGTTGTTATCTGAAATTTCAAATTTCATTGAGGGCAAGAATTTGTGGCTCTCTTCATACCATGAAAGTAATGAAAATTAAAATAAATAAGTGATTTCACAGTAATCAAACTGTAATTTACCAGGCCAAAACTGTACACTGTTGTTCTTAGTCCATTTAAGACATACTTTTTAAATTTAAAAAAAAATTATTTTGGATCTTTTAATTATATATTTGTATTTTTGCTTTAACTACATGTGTGCACAGTATCAAAACACTTACTAATAATGTATGTATTTGGGCTCCATGAGTTGTGAATAATCTTGGTTGCTGCTGACAAACAGAACAGGCCTGGAAAATCTAAATTAGAAAAGAAATTAAAATCACTGTTAGAAATTTTACATCTGTTAATCATTAAATTACAGGTGACTCTTGATATCTCAAAGTCCATAGGCCACATACTGCTAAACATTTAAGAAGTGGAGAATTCAACAGTCTGAAAAAAGGCTGTTTCACCAAAGCCTGTTTTTAATTGAGATTTACCATTAGGTATGTTTACAAACATGCACAATTGCACATGTAGTTCTGATGATTCATAATAACATGTTCCAGGAACATTGCACAAATATTATCATTGAATAAATTCAATAAACTCTTTCTTTCTCTAAAAAAAAAAATCTTTATTTAGAAAACTACTAAAACACAAAAAGGAAGAAATTGTAGTAAAATGTTGTAGTTTTCTGATTTCTGAATAAACAATGGATGTTTTGGAGAGTTTATTCAATGCAATGTAACATTTCCAGCTTGTACAGGAACAGTAACCCTGTAGTCATCCAATGACTCACTTGCTTTTCACACAATTTTTGATTTATTTCCATATTATTTCAAATTTTGCTTGTTTTAATAACAACAAAAAATCAGAACCACAAGGTCACTCTGAGAGATTGAGAACTTCCAGAGAATTCCAGCCTCCAAAATTCAAATGTATTTGATTTCTTTGTCTTACAGAATTTCCTTGTCTTAAAGATTCACTTATTCATACAAGGTTTACACTTTATTATGTGCTTAGGATGAATGATCTGACTTCCTCTAAGTCATAAACGTACCAGCCATACCAAACCTCTCTATTGTGTTAGACTAACATGCTACAAATAGTTTAAAAGCCAATACTTACCTCCTGAATAGCCAGTGTTTTGTTGCCCATGATCAGGCGACACATGATGATGTGTTCTAGTAGCATTAACTGGAAGGCGGACAGGAGGGGGTGCGAGTCCAACACTGCAAAAATCACAGTATTGTACCAATTACTACATCTAAATTGTAGATAAATCAATGTTATATAAATATCTCACTTTCTTGCACATTAGAAACATTTAAGGTGCAGGGCTTAAAGGAGTATTCTACTTAAGTATAGTAGTGTGGTCCCTTTTTACACCCTTGGTTTACTGGTTAAATATTAGTATACGGTATTTTGTTTGTTTTCATTGTGTATAACGAAGTATTTCTAATTAAGACATTGTGTATTTATAATGAATAATTGAACATATCCAAAAATACAAGCCTATTTTTAACACCTATCACACTAAAAAATGCCGGAACATTTTCCCCCGATCAGACTACAGTTTCTCTATTACATGGAAATAGGCTGAGACATTTAAATTAGATACTATAAAAGGAAGATCATGGTATGATATTTTTCTTTCAAAGACGTATTATATGTTCAAGATTTACAATCAACTACAAATACAATTTTCTATTTACAAAACTTTGGCAATAAATATAACAAGAGGAACCAAACAAGTCCATGCTGATGTATATAAAACTGAGTACCGGTACGTTTCAACTGAGAACTAGCACGTTTACTGGGGGCATTTGCCTGGAATGATACAAATCCACGTGGCTTGTTATGATTCTAAACAGGTCATAAAGAGGTTAATCGCATGTAAATGAAGTCAGCGAAGAGATTCAAAATTACAATACTTTTAATTAGAAAGCAAAGAGCACAAGGTTGTTCAACTAAGATATTTTCACTCAACATTTACACATATAATATACACATCATATTTCAAACTCGACGCTGAACAAACCTGTGCTCGGTGTTTACGAAAGCTTCGAAGTGTGTACCTGTCACTGATTTCTTTTGATATTCATGAAAATCAAAGGACCCTACCTTCAACGCGCAGCTTCGTATACTGCCTACATCTATTGTTTGACATTTTTAGATGATGATTCAAATAATAAAGACATTAGTAATTAATAAAATTTAATTATTAAAAATTTTAATAAATGTTTGAACCGGGGACCACAGATAAGCCTTATTGAGACTTATTGAGACTTGTTCTTTTCACTCAATAATTTTATGTTCCATCTACCAGTATTACTAATATTTCTGTGTTATTTTCACTCACTTTTTAACTTTTCTATCTGCATCAAAGCCTTGTCTGTATATTTTTGAGCTTTGTCCATATGCCCTGCTTGCATTGAATGCATTACTGTCACCTGCAAATAATTCTCTATCAGGTAATTTGTTAACTTTCCTCCAGGTCTTGTTCTATTAGGAATATAAACGTCTGAAAATTTTGTCACACACAATATTTCCTACACAAGTTTGAAAATATCTTCCTTCTCTATAAAAATAAAAATAATTGAGTAATTCTAGTAAACTCTTAAATTTCTTACCAAATACACTAATATGCACATATGTTCAATTGGCAGCCACTGAAACAGATCCAGCTCATTAGCAGGGACTGGTTCTGAAAAAAAAGAGAATTCTCAGCATTGATATTGGTTCTCTTGGTAAAAGCCTCAGTTGTAAAAAGTTCTTCCTGGGCATATAACTACCTAATTATGAATTACAGTGATTGTTGTTAAAAATCCCATTTGTTTGTCATTTAATTACATGTATTTCTAAAAATGGCCCTTTAGAATATATAGTCAACCTATTTATTTAAAAAATGGTGCATTAAAAATTTTATCATTAAAACCAGAGTCCTTTTGATCATCATGGCCTTCCCAATCAATTGTTCTATACAAACTGTACGTCTACAATAATCTATCCATGGAATGATGACTAAGAGACAAACCTTCATCTGTATGAAGTTGAGTGATGGTCTGGATGATTTGCTGAAGGTTTTTCAAAACTGGTTTAACTGTTTTAACCTAATAAAAAAATAATAAATTAATATTAAACACATGTAATAAAAAATTAAAATAAATATACCGGTAGTGACTATCTCAAAGGGGCTCCACTTTCAGCAGAAGGACAGATACAGTTTGGGTGAGATATGAGTGAAGAGAATATATACACCTACAAGGAGTTTATATAAAAGTCCTGAACTTTTACTTTTTATCCAAAGACAATATTTTGGTGAAGTTTAAGCCAGATCGGGCCAATTGGAGATAAAATACTCAACAAATGAATTTTACATAAATCTGCTATATCTTTATTCAGTAAAAACTAGAAACTTGATTCAAAGACACTGCACACATCCTAAACATGGGAACTCTTTGGGTGAATTTTAAGGCCAACTGGACCAAGGGGACAGAAAATATTCTCTGAACAATTGAAATTAGATGGACAGACACTGGCTTGTTAAAAAGCTCTCACAGGGGTTTATCTGTGTATGAAGTTGTTTGAAGTCATAATTATATAGAATGAACTAAGAGAGGCAATGAGGAAAAAGTGTTGTTCAAAGCCTATGGGAAGATCAAGGTGTAAAAATTAAGACACAGCTGAATTACTCTCAACAATCTGAATTAGTACGTGAAGTTTGAAAATATCTTGATTTTTTCGTTTTTTTCCCTTCATATTTCATATTTTCCGTAGAAACTAGGGTAAACTCAAAATGAGGAATAGTAAAGTCAAGGTCAAGGTAAAAAAAAAAATGATAAAGTTGAATTTCTCTATCCATTATGTAACTTTGTGAGAAGTTTGATGAAAAATAACTTGTCAATGAAGAGTTTCTTTGAGAATGAGCTACATCCACAGTGTGAGGGGCAGAGAGATGGAATGACAAAAGGACATGGAACAGAGGAACAGAAGGAAGACAGACATCACAAAGTGACCCTGCTGAAACAGTTAGGTTCTCAGAATTAATATATTACTTTTATTTCAACTGGAAATCTTTTAAATTAAAGAGCTTCTTTTGCATGTAAAAAAAAAACTTTGCTGGCACTAATTCAAAACTCCATGTACATGCATGTACATTTACTAAAACAAACCTGTCCAGCCATGAGATAATGGCAGACTTGTAGCACAAAGAAGAAGACTTTGAGTGATTCTTTCTGTAGAGGTGTTCCACTGTACGCCTCAATAAATTGACCAGCAGCACTAAGTGTGTCATGGACTTCTGTGGTTTTCTTGGCAATCAGCAGCAACTGTAAAAAAATAAAATCATGTACTGAAAATCAACTTTTATTTACAAGGGAGTAATATCAACAAGTCTTGCCGCCTTCTTTTACCTTTTACTTTTGTTTATCAACTAGTGCTTAGTAACAGTTTCATATATCAATATAATTCATATATTCAGGGCTTTCAAAAAGATTAGAGACATGTGGTACTTTTGTAAAAATAGGAGGTACCTTGTGGAATTGATTTTAATTAAGAATCCTCTCTACACTGCACACTAAAGAGTTCTGATTCTATGGTATTTTTCTGCAGTTAGAGTGGTCTGCCCTTAGATCTCGAAATTTACAGTATATTACTCAATTTGTAATCAATACAAGTATTTTTAACATTTTAAAAAGGTCAAGATAAATTAATTGAACATGTTATTTACATATATTTTCTTCATGGAAGTAAACAACATTGATTTCTGTTCACTGATACTATGTTGTGTTTGAACATTTTTCCCCGGGGTTCAATTCCACGTACCATATATTAAAAATTAAATAGATAAGCTCAATATTTACATCTTTATTCAATATAATTTTCTCGATGTCCCCAAAAAACATTTTGCACTGGTGTAGAGAGGGTCCTTAAGATTTGTTATTGAAATTTTCTCCATAAAATATTTTGGCCAACACAATCATGATTTCAGCCGGGTAAAAGTACTGGGTACTGGCAGATTTCAAAAGACTTGATTATATGTTGATATTTGTAACGATATATTGAAAATGATGAGAATGTGAAAACAAGAAAATGCATAAGAAATGGAGTATGAATTTGAAAAGTGAATAAACTACACAATAATCATATGAATAGGTGTTACTCTGTTACTTTTCTATAGAAATTCAGTCAAGTTTACTGATTTTGAAATTGTTGAACACTAAATTGTCTTTAGTACAAAAATTTTAGTTTCACACAGTAATTTTGCCCTTATCACAGCAATCTCTTGAAGTTCAATTTAAATGCAGGCAGATTTTCTATGGTTACTTACCATTCCCTTGCTTAATATGAAGAGAAGTCTTGTGTATTCTGAATGTGCAGAGCCTGCGAAGTCTGCCCCCATCTGAAGATAGTGACAGGCAGAGACATAGTCTCTCTGAATGGCATAGATTTGCTGTAGGTTAACAAAAATTAGGCATAAAAATTTATTCTGTCAAATCTCTGTACAAGAAAAATGTATATAAACAATCAAACCATACTGAAGAAAAAAATCACTAACAATTTAGGAACACTGTTGTAGGCAATGACAGTAATTATAAATTTTAATAAAACCTAAACAACAATTGACTCTACTACATAAATCTAATTTTATAGACATCTTCTTTCATTCATACTTACTGCCAGTTGGAAGATAAGTCTACAGTGCCAGTATGCTGACTGTTGGGACACCTCAATAGCTTTCTGTAGCACTGGCTTGGCATCTTCATAGCGATACTTAAACATAAAAACAATACTAACCACAACATCATCACACAAACCTATATACTTAATTTTGAATCACACTAAAACCCATCCAATATACAGAAGTTGAAAATTTTTATTAAATTTATAGTTGTGCATTTTTATCAAATTTACAAATTTTAGTACAAGAGTATATGTGTATGAATTTCATATTTCAACAATAACCATGAAAAGAATATATATCTTGTATATGTTTAAAAACTTACATCTTTTTCATACAATGTGGCTAGTTCACTGGCTGATTCAAACCTCACCAAGTCTGCTTCCTCTGAAGAAGGCAACTTATGACCATTAAGGGAAAAAATAATTTTCAAATACATCCACAAACAATTATATTCAAGTCATCTGATTACATTCAGAGGCTCTATTACAAATATCATCAACAAATTTGTGTGTGGAATTCTTGCATATGAACAGTTTTAACATGAAATTGTTGCCAGATAAAAGGATACAGCAATTGATACGGTCCACTGAAATTAAAAATAAAAGAGAGAGATAAAAATCATACAAATAGAAAGAGCCCCATGGGCCTTGATTGTCATTTTAGCATTATGAAATTCTCCAACAATGACCACTTCTACCCAACCTATAACAGGTACTCTGAACTTATGTTAAAAAAATCTACAGTTAAGTGGACTCTATATTCATTATTATAACAACTCTTACCACATTAATATTTTGTCTTAAGAGACAAGACTTCCAGTTCTAGGTGGGGCTTAAGTGCTTAGCACCTGAGAAGCTAATGATACTCAGGTGACCCTTAAGGCCCATAAGCCTCTAGTAAAATACATGTACAGCTACTTGTTACGATTGCTCAATTAGCCTCACTTTCATTCTAAAATTTAATACACAAGAGACAGATTAATAACTGTTAAAATTGAGCTATTTTGAATAGCTTAAGAAAGCTGAATAGCCATTTATAGCTATTCAGCCAAATCAAGAGATTGTGCTGGACCTATCTAATGCTTGTAAGAGACTTCTTTTTTTTCAGGTTTGCATTCATAAAAAAATCAGATAAAAGTTACAGCATATGTAGCATTTGAACATAGAAGAGTGTGATAAGGCAGTCAGTATGGTGTCTCCTGTTCCTTTAACAGTCTGGTCAAACCCCCAAATGGGTATAAATGGAAATAGGAAAACCATACCCCCAAACGGGGGATACCAGCATGTGCAGATGCTTAAAAATGAAATGTGCATATTTTAAACAAAAAATAGAGGTTTACATAAAATGCTGGTGCAAAGTAACGGATCATTTCGCAAATGTAAAACCACTCAGAAATGAAAAATTAAAGGTGCTTTAAGAATTTAAGAATTTGCATTTTACAAAAATACAACTTTGTTGTACAAATTGTGATTTATTCACTGGCAAAGTTGGCGATCTTTTGCTCCTTGACATCCAGGTATTTAAGATAAATATTCTATAAACAGACAAAAACAACTTATATTAAATTGAAATTATAAAAGAAATATATAATTCTACCTTATATCTTTTATTTTCATAATAAAGTGTACAAAAATACATGGTGTTAATATTGATTTATTGATGATCGTGGGTTTCAGTCCGAGTTTCCTCTGACTAGCAATCGAAGGTCGATATTATTGATAATCATGCTCAGGAAGTGTAACAAAAATACAGTTAAAAATAAAACTCAAAGGCAATTTATTGTATTTATTGTTTTTTATATCTTATAAGAATTAAATAAAATGTTTGCAATTTGTTTTTTTTCTTAAAATAAATACAATTGTCTGTAGGAAAACATGAATATATTTTATTTCATTAAAATCTAGATTCTATATTCATATTTTCCTTATTCTTAGAATATTTTTCCTTGTGTTTTAAATTCCATTATTAAAAAAAAATCTTGAAACATCACACAAAATCAATAAATTATTTCATGAAATGACGGAAAATATTTTGTTATTCCTCCACTATAAATCAAATTATGTAAAAATTAATCCTGTTGATTTTTTTTTCTTCTGAAATATACCAAGTTCATAGCAATTAACAATATTATTGATCTGTTTTCCTAAGATTGATGATATAGGCAAGTTTATTCATATTGGTTACGGCAAGAGTTACTGTTCTTGTGCATTGCAATGATTGCATGACGGGACAGAAAACCCTCATTTGAGGGTATATCCCCATTTGAAGGTTCGACCAGACTGTTTAAACTGGTTTGTAAAAAATTAAAACAATCTAAGGATTATTTTTTTATTTGAAAAAATGTTGCCATTGGATTAAGAGATACATAATAAAAATATAAATGTAGGATAAAACCAGAGACCTCGGAATGGAATACTTGGAAGTCTCTGGTTTTATCCTACATTTATAACCCCAACTGGAAATTTTGTATCCCATCTAAAGTCTTAAATAATGTGTATCAAGGTAATTTTCAAGGAATAAATGAGTGGTTTACAATAAAGAGACCATAAAGACACCTTAAACAATTTATGACAACTCAACAACTCACAAGATAAGTCTCTCGAAGCAAACAATCTCATTTAATAGTAGATTAATGATTGATATATCAACAAAATACGAGCTCGAAGCGGGGGCCTGAAATTGAGTTAGGTACCTTGTGGAAAGAAAAAGAAGGGGGTGACCCCATATAAAAAACAAGTGCCTGTAGTTTGAATATAGAGTCAATCTCATTTATGCACTATGTTGCTAAAATGACACTTGTAAAAAAAAAAATCTTAGAGCGGGGGGGGGGGGGGGGGCAAACCCCCTTCAACCCCCTCCCCCTGAATCTGCCACTGGGCATGATCTACAAATGTATCCCTAGCTGCCTAAAAGCAAATATTTAACCCCTATACAGTAAAAAAGAAATTCTAAAATTAATAATAATTAATTAATCAGTTCAATTTTTATCAAAGACTCACAGCTTGCTCCAAATGCCGAGTGGCTAACTCTTTGTTTTTCGTGTGCGCCAGTAGAATATTCCCTAATTGCAGGTGCGTTCGAGATACAATAAGAGGAGGAGGGTTTATGTTGAATATAGATTGAAGACAATGAATACATAGCCTTATATTTGGTGGATTTGACACTCTAAAGTTTTCTGCTAAGCCCAGGAGTGAAATATACAGCGCATCATTTTTACTCGACCCGCTTATGGCAGCCATCTTGCCTACATCTCTCATTCTCGCGTCATTAAAACGTTTCTCTTCAACAGCTTCATGGGATTGTTGAAGCGTCTTGGTGATCAAGAATTCAGTTCTCGTACCTTTCCGTCAAGTGTCGGGATAGCCCCATTCGGCAAACCTCGGCTGATTCCGTCACCTTCATCAAACCTCGGCTGTACCCGTGAGCCCAAATCAAAGTACAGAATGTACTCCCGGGAGTTGTACTATCGGAGCATTTTCCCCTCACATTATGATTTAGAGAAATAGACCATTCTCTTTGGTTGTCACACAAAGGGTACACAGAGCAAATAATTAGCCATATCTGTATTTGTTACGTCGTGGTGACCAATACTGGCTTTTATACGACGGGAGAGAGGCGCTGTCGATGTTATTGACAAAGTAGGTGCATTATTTTTTTGTCCCCCGCTTTCACTGAAAGGAAGGGATATTAATTTGGGTCTGTCCGTCCGTCTGTCGAGCTGTCTGTCTGTCTGTTCTTACCATAGATACACTTTGAGGTTAATTTTTGTGCGTATTTTCCCGTATTCTCGGGTTATTTTTGTATTGTGGGTTTAACCCCTCAGTAACAGGGTTTATTTATGCTTGGCATGACTGCGTGATGTTAAGGAAACTAAATTTAGACCTTTTTTTTTTTTTTTTTTTTTTTTTTTATACACGTAAACAGATTTTCAAACATGTTATAATCATGGACTTGTCTATAATAAGTATGGACATGCCTGATGAGGAACCCCATACTAATATTCACCCCACTCGGTAATAAAAAAAAAATGAACATAAAACTGCAGTGTGAAAGAATGTATAGAAAATCATTTGGACATATGCACCCCACAATAGACTTAACTACCGAAAGTAACCAAGTACTGTTATCTTTTGCACAATGTATCTCTTGTGTCAGTTTTATGACTGTCTGTCTGTATTTCTGTCTGTATGTAACACTTGCGTTTTAACGAATTTAATTCGCTATAACAAATTAAAGCTTTCGATTCAAGGAATGTAATTTATTATAACAAGTTTTAGAATTCGTTAAAACGAGTTTAATTCGTTTTTTGAATTCATTTTAACAAATTTCAACAAATTTGTTATAACAGATTAAATTCGTGATAATTGTTATAATGAATTAAAGTCGTTTTAACAAATTCGACAATTCGTTATATCGAATTCAAAAATATTTTTTGATAGGTCCTAAATGGGCTTTCGTATTTATGGGACTGATCACACTGAATGTAAACCGTACATGGAAAAATTATATATAAAATAAATGTTATGTCAAATACATAAATATCTATTAAAATCAAATCGAATCCGAATTTCTGATACATACACGTATGTACATGTACATGTATTTATAAACTTAATATTATTCATATATGAATTGATCTTCGCATATCATAATTTCAGTAATCTTTTCATTAATACAGGGAAAAAATTAATGTAAATATGTTGTTTCAATTAAATGAACTCGATTTTATTAGTTATTTAAAATTTCCTTGTTCCACTGCACTCATGTGGGTATAAATTTCACTTTCGTTTTAATTTCACAGAAAAGTTGTATACTCATTCTCTTCGTCTCCGCACAAAGGAAGGTTATAGTTTCCTCTTTGACAGTTCACAAGTGGAGATGTAGAGTGAGACCATCTTTTAACCGGAGGCATGTTACTAATCAAAATATTTTTTTTAATTGATCAGATATCTTCTCATAAATGAAATGTTAGCAATGAAAGATTATTGCTCAGCTCTTGATATTATGAATTTCAATAGTCATTACGTTTGTTTTTTGTTTTTTTAATTAATTACGAAATTCAACGTACCATGAACGTTTGAAGCCCAGGGATTGTTCGGTGGAGTGGAGTTGCATGGTTCATTCTAGTCCTGAATATCTGACGTTTTCCTGGCTTTTTTTCACGATTTTGATATTTTACGTGCCAGGAAAACGTTTTCCTGGCACGTAAAATATCAAAATCGTGAAAAAAGCCTGGAAAACGTCAGATATTTCGGACTAGATTCATTCAAGACCTGGATTGAATATAATATTAAAAATGATATTGTTTATAAGTTAATATCGATCCATGCGTATTGACATCACTGTAGATGATATAATTTACCAACTTATAGATAGCATGTAATATTAAGGTATCCGATCCATAAAAGGACCTAATTTTCTAACCTTAAATATCCATCCTGTATTAAATACTCGGAAATTAAATCAAAGCATTTCAGAGTAGAAAAGGATTTACCAGGAGAAATTTTCAAAATTATAATTACCTAAGCAGTAATTAATAAATGAAGAATGCATTGAGGTCTATGAGGACAAGTAAATTTTTTAAAATAAAAATTTATATACATGTACTTAGAATATCGAAAAATGCTTTGGTGGAAAGATGTATTTAATTATTAGGAATAGAAAAACGATTGAAAACTAATTTTTTTACCAGATGGATTTTTTTTAGAATTGCTTTTTATTGATTATAAGCAAAGGGGGATAACTCTTCAAGGACAGGATAAGGTCAAAAATTAGGACACATTCCACTTTTACATACTGATACTCAAACATGAAGATTATGTCTACATATACTGAGTATTCAGCCAATATATATCTGTTATGCATTCAGATTCATTGAATCTGAGGCTACCTTAATATCTGTTTTTACGTATATCTACTGCAAGCAGGTTCACTGGATTGAGAGGGTACTTTTGAAACGAATGCAGTCTGTAACGTGGACGGAAACCCATTTCTGGGTCTCTGTTTCCCTGACTCCGCACAGTCGGTCTATTTTGTCTTACCTCGGAGACCCTGTATGAGAAGCGAGTCCGACCGTGGGTTTCTGACGATGGACCTGTATTTGATGCGTCACTGGCGAGACCGTAACATGAATGTAATATGGGTGATAAAATAGCACGGGGAATGTGTTGAGCTCGATGGGTTGGGTATACCCAGAAAAAAAGATACATATATATTTTCATGATATTGCCATACATACTCAGATGATTTTGTATACCTAAGACATAAGGCTTTGTCATATCTGAAATGACCAATATCAGCCGATGTTTGATCTTTAGTGAATTATATATGCGGTACTCCGATCCTCGGGTTCTGAAATAGCAGTTATGTAACTGAAAGGTCTCACAAAAATGTTTCTGAATTCCCAAAGTAATGTGCATTTACCCATGGTGTTTCTTCAAAGTTCATCATTATACATGTAAATCTGAACTATATTTTCAGGAAACGAGAATAAAAGCACCAGTTATGTTTTTTTTTCTTATTGAAAATTGATCCACAAATATATTTTAGGATAAAAAAAAACTGTAAGTCTTGGCATTCGCAGAAAATTGCATGTTTTGATACTTCTTTTGGTATTTTACTTCTTCCTTGTTTCCTTCAATAATACATAGTGTAAAAAGTTTGTGCTATCATTGCAAGACATCACAGATCACTTCTTATTTCATATCATGCTGATAAGCATTGGTATCTAAGGCTAGATTAAAAAAAATTCGATTTCTTTGAAATGTATTTATTTTTGTACCTTTATTTGGTGCAAACATCAACTTTTTAAAAGACTTTTCTTAGACTTCAAAAAAAACATTCAATCATATCTAGATGCATAAAAATGAAAATTGTTGCACGGAAATAAATCCAAAACTATTTTAACCATGATTAGACGCCATTGTAGAAGATCAATCAAAAATATGCGTTTCTTTTTCATTTCAGTACGTATAGATCGGCCGCCGATGATAAAACTCTACAGTATTTGCTATTTTGCTGCATGCACTTTAATTTAGCACTGATTTTAAAAAATAACTTCCGCTTTCATTTTAGTTTCACGGAAAATTTCGACATAGGACAAGTAATGTGAAAACGCTTTAAGAGTAGCTAAGGTCAATTTTAAGGGATGTTGTAGTTTACCTGAAGGTTTGTAAATTGTCATAATTTTTAGGTCACCTGAGTCACTCAGGTGATCTATTGCTATCTGTCCGTCGTAAACTGGTCGTAAACATTTAAACATTAATTTTTTCAGCTTCTCGAATCGCTGAACCAATTTCAACCAGCATCAATAAGTGAAGGAAAAAGTCTTTGCCACTTGTTTGCTTTGCTGCAAACGTTAACTATGGGACTCTGAACATGTTAATCAAACTTTAGGACATGTTGCCATGGTAACCATGACACGCAGCAACCAATTTTTGTGTGATTTGAATTTACGGTATCAAAGTCTATCGTTATAGAGAATTTGAAAAAATTCTAAGACTATGCGTACCAAAGCTCCAATATAAAAGTTCAAGTCATTATAGAGGATGGCTCTTAAATCCAATCTTAAAACCCTTACAATTCAATAAGTTCTTTCTTTTTATTGACCATTTTAAAAATGCTTTAATGTATCAAGTACGTATACCATATGTAGAATTTTTATTAGTATTACATTTTTGTATTGAAAAAATATTTGTAAGAAAGAGAACTCTTGCTAATGGACATATTCTTTTCTTACAAGCACATACCACTTTGTGATATTCTGTCTTACGAAGCAGCGCCTTTGTATGATTTCTAATATGATTTTAATAGGTATGTCACTAAATATTATTTTCATATACACCTCATATTTTTAATTTTAATCTGTGATAAGAAATTATTACTCTTCCTATTCTCTGTTTTAAAATTTCTTCATATAGTCTGACTAAAAAATCATTTCTGAAAAAATGAGCAGCATTTCATACCTCATACTGTTTTTCATTTGAATCTAATACTATAGCTCTTGATGAAAATCAATGTTGCGAAGTTTAAAAAATATGTGAAATTAAGAGCAGAGGGTCATTAGTCCTTAAGGCCATTGGGCCTCTTGTTTGATTTTGTTTCAACAATCGCGCCAACACTTGTGACGCGTCATTCTTGTATTTTAATTTCACTCTTTGATAATGAGTGGATTAAATGCTGTATTAGTGGTCAGGTTCTCCTTCCTGTGCCTCTACCAGGGAAAGAACTTAGAAAATTT